TGTAGGGACCCGGACCCATGGCCTTGGTGTTATCAGCACCGCACTCTCCCGAGTGAGCCACGGGCCGGCCCGAGCTTTAGTAAATTTAATAGACTCTGCCAAGCAGTTTTCCAAAGTGCTTGCACCATCTGGTCCTGCCAGGATTCGCCTGGGCCTGGTCTCCGACTCCACTTCTACCCCAGCTGCTGTTTCTAAGCAACTTACAGTCCCAGACACTGTCCGTGGTCCTAGCCCTGACCTTGGTCCTGTCCTTGGTTCCAGCTTCAGTGTTAGTCCTGGGATTAATTTGTACTTTTCATTCATTCATATAGTCAGTAACTGTTTATTGAGCACCTATTATGTGCCAAACACAAGGATACAGCAGCCAAGAGGTGTCATGCCTGCTCCCAAGGACCTTATACTCTAGTGGGCAAGATTGAGGGTGGGCAAGAAAGGATAAAATAATCCCATTATACATTTATTTATATATGATCACAAATTGTTATAAATACTGCAAGTGAGAATTACATGGTACTGTGATATCACATGTTAGGGGGACCGGCCTGGTCAGGAAAGCTTCACTGAGGAAGTGGTGTGGGGCTGAGACCTGAAGGATGAGGAGGCCAAGCAAGAAGGGAAGAGCATTCCACATTCAGGGAACAGCGTATACAGGGTCTGGGGAAGGAGCACAAAGAAAATGAAGGTCAGTGGAGCTAGAGTGGAGAGAGGAAGAGAAATGCATGGCAGATAAGGTGGGAGAGGTCAGCAGGGGCCATGTGATGCAGGGCTGTTTGTCAGTGTTCTAAGAGAATTTGGAAGGGAGACACTGAAGAGTTTTAGGAGGAGAGGGGCATTCTGGTAGAGGTAAAGAGTGAATGGAAGAAGACAGATCAGCTAAGAGGAAATTGCATTTGTCAGGCAACAGGTGGATGGTAGCTTGAACTTATAATGATGGTAAGACGGAGAGAAGGAAATGAATTGAAGAGATGATTATGAGAAAATATCGGTAAATCTGATGAAATATGGTAGCATTGAATGGGCTGTTAGATTTCTGACTTGTAAAGCTGGATTAATGGTGGGGCTATGAGCTGCAATGGGGAATGCTGGCAGGGGGTGGGGTATAGGAAGGACAATCATTCAGTTACAGACATGATGAATTTGAGGTGCCCAAGAGGAGATGCCAACTAGGCAGTTGGATTACTGTGTTGCATTACTGTGGAGCTAGGAGGAAATGACTGCGCTGGTTTTACAAATTGGCATATTGTTTGGAAAGTAAAGTCGTGAGTCTGGATGAGGGTACCTACGTGAGTTATTACAACTGTAGGTTTTAACTCTGGTGCACATCACAATCATCTGGGGAGCTTTTATTTATTTATTTATTTTAATTATTTTGTTTTTTATTTTCTTGGCAGCTGGCTAGTACAGGAATCAAACCCCGGGCTTTGGTGTTATCAACACCATGCTTCTAAACAACTGAGCTAACCGGCCAGTCCATTAAATACTGAACAAAATTCAGTTCCTCAGTCACTCTAGCCACATTTCAAGTGTTCAAGAGCCACATATTTCTCCTGGCTACCATATTGGATGGCATGGATACGGAATGTTTTAAAATGAAAAATGTGGTCAACTATGTCCAGTGATTTTTGAGAGGTCAAGTAAGATGAGAACAAATGTCCCTTAGATTTTGTGACACCCAGGTCATTGGGAGACTTTAGGATGAGCTGTTTGGTGGGTTGAAGGGGGATGGGGAAACCAGATGAGAGTGGATTGAGGCATGCCTGGGATATGAGGAAATGGAAATAGCAAGCACAGATAAATCTTTTGACATCTGTGACTATGAAGTAGAGGAGAGAAGTATGTGGTAGCTGGAGATGATGCAAAATTAAGGAAGGGTTTTTGTTTTTTAAGGTTTGAATTTCATACAGTGATAGGCACAAATCTTCAGTGTACCTTTTTTTTTTTTTTTTTTTTTTTGGTAGCAGGCTGGTACAGGGATCTGAACCATTGACCTTGTTATTATCAGCTCAGGCTCTCCCAATTGAACTAACCGGCTAGCCTCAATGAATTTTTGAATATATGTACATCTCTTTAACCACCACCCAGATCAAGATACAAAACATTTGCAAAAATCTCCTTTGTGACTCCTCCCAATCAATACTTTCCCTTGAAGTAATCCTATCCTATCTCCTAAAAGCAAAGATTAGCTCTGCCTGGATTTGAACATCATATAAATGGCATCATTCAGAGTGTTCTCTTTTTGTGTCTGGTTTCTTTTGCTTAACATTATGTGTGTGAAGTTCATCCATGTTGCATGTAGCAATAGGGTATTTGTATTGCTGTATAGTATTCCATTGTATGCCTCTCCTGTAATTTATTTATTTATCCTACTATCAATGGACACTTGAGTTGTTTCCAGTTTTGGTTAATATGAATAAATCTCATGAACATTATTGTACATGTCTTTTGGAGGATATGTGCAATCATTTCTTTTGGATATTTAACAAGAAGTGGAATTACTGGGTTATAGACTATATGCTTTAGTAAAAACCAACACTTTTCCAAGTATTTGCACTAATTTATGCTCCCACTTGCAACAGATAAGAGTTCCAGTTCCTTCACATTCTTGCCCATATTGAGCAATGTCACTCCCTTTAATTTTACCTATTCTAGTGGATATTTAGTGGCATCTCATATTGGTGTTTCTTTTTTTTCTTTTTTTGGCAGCTGGCCAGTACAGGGATTGAAACTTGGACCTTGGTGTTATTAACACCATGCTCTTACCAACTGAGCTAATTGGCCAGCCCCTCATATTGGTTTTTGGGTTTGTTTGTGGGTTTTTTGGCTTTTTGGGTTTTTTTTAACATGGCCACATGCCACCCTCATATTGGTTTTAATGTGCATTTCCCTGATGACTAGTGATGTTGTACACCTTTTCGTATGCTTATTGGCCCTTTGGATACATATTTTTTGTGGTGAACCTGTTTAAGTTTTTGCCAGTTTAAAAAACTGGGTTTCCTAACTTTTGATTTTTGTTTTGTTTTGTAGAATTTTTCTTTTTCTTTTTTTCCATTACTATACTGAAGATATTTTGTAGAATTCTTTATTTTAGATTTTAATCCTCTTTTTCTCTGTATGTGTGTGTATCTCACATATTTTCTCCCAGTCTGTGGCTTGTCTTTTTATACTCTTTTTTTTTTTTCCTTTTTGTCTTTTTTCGTGTCTGGCAACGGATCACAACCCTCAGTGTCGCGCCCGTACCGGACCGGGACTGGCAACGGGATCGCAAACCTTGGTGTTGCTCCCACACCTCGCTCAGCCAGTGAGCGGGAACCGGTCTGTATGTGGGATCCGAACCCTCGGTGGGAGCGCCACCGCGCTCCCAAGTGGCGCACTGTAGCAGTGCACCACCGGGCCGGCCCTCTTTTTATACTCTTAAAGGTGTCATTTGATGACCAGAAGTTACCAATTCTAACGAGGTCCAACCCCTCTTTTTGGGGGGGTTAGGTTTTATGTGTGCGTGTCCATCCCACTTAAGAAATCTTTGGCTTACTCCAAAGTCATACGGGTTTTCTCCTTTTTTTTTTTAAAGATGACCGGTAAGGGGATCTTAACCCTTGACTTGGTGTTGTCAGCACCACACTCTTCCAGGTGAGCTAACTGGCCATCCCTATATAGGGATCCGAACCTGTGGCCTTGGTGTTATCAGCACCACACTCTCCCAAGTGAGCCATGGGCCGGCCCTGGTTTTCTCCTATTTTTCTTCTGTGGAGTAGTTTTATGAAAGGTACTTTTTACCTTTCGTAATTAGTTCCCTGACTCATCTCAATTAATTTCTGTGGACTTAAGGTAGAGATTTATTGATGTTTTTTCCATAGGGATCTTCAATTGACCCAGCACTTCCTCCCTTCTCTTAATTGCAGTGGCCCTTTGTGGTTTTTTTCATTTCGTTTTGTTTTGTTTTTTTGCAGTGGCCCTTTGTCATTAGTGAGATGACCACATATGTTTGGGTCTGTTTCTGGGCCCTATTCTATTCCATCTGTCTATCCTTGAACCTTTATAGTAAGTCTTGATATTTGATCATGTTAAGTCCTGAGAAAGAGGTTTTTTTTCTTTCTTTCTTTTTTTTTTTTCTAGTGGGAGATCTGTGAGCTCATATAGAAGCCGATGGGAAGGAGCTAGTTGAGAGTGAAGGGATGGAATAAAAGAGAGAAAGAGAAGATAATCTACACCTTAAGGATTCTGAGAAGACAGTAGGATCTGGGATCCAAGTGCTTGGGGAAGGATTGACTCTAAGTACTCATCTGCTAATCCATTCAACATAGATGTGTTGGATGATACATTTATCCAACATATTTATGTGCCAGGCACAGGGATAGAGCAGTGCCAGAACAAACAATGCCCCTGTTCTCATGGAGCTCCCATTCAAGTAGTAAGAGAAAGGTAACAAACAAACAAACACATGAAGAGATCATTCAGGCAGCAGTAACTGGCATGAAGAACATGGGCAGGTATTGTGATAGAAAGTAATGGAATACTGCCCTGATTGGACATAAGGAAGGCTTCTCAGAGGCAATGGATGACATGTGAGTTAAAAAAGAAAAAAGAGAAGTGGAAAAAAAGAGAGAGAGAAAGAGAGAGACATGAGTTAAGATTTGAACAAGGAGGAGCCAGCCTTTAAGAGCTGAGTGAAGAGCATCACAGACAGAAGAAACATACAGTGCAAAGGCTCTTAGGCTACTGTAGTTTGGTAGTGTTTTCATGACAAACAAAAGACCAGTGTGGGGGAAACACATAAAAAAGGGGGGGCCAAGGTAACCAAATGACATCAGAAAGAGAGATAGAGACCAGATATGCCCAGGGACAGTATCCTTTAGGGCTGAACTGATGTGAATTTTTATATACATTTGAGTTGGGTAGATTAGTTGTGGGTGATGGGATTGTGGGTGTGTACTGGGAAAGAAGGGGCTCCATATTGTCTCCTTCTTTTTGAAGCTGCTCTCACACGACCTCTCTCTCTGCAGCCTCCTGAATGATGCCAGCCCAATGTCCCCTAACCTCTAGTCTGGCCCTCCTGGTGCTGCTGGGCACAGCCAGAGCAGGCCCCTTCTCTCCACGGTCCAATGTGACACTCTCAGCCCCACGGCCTCCTCCCCAGCCAGGGGGTCGCACAGTGGAAGCAGGAGGGGGAAGCCCCTCTTCTCAGCTTTATGAGCACACAGTGGAAGGAGGGGAGAAGCAGGTGGTATTCACCCACCGAATTAACCTGCCCCCTTCTGCTGGCTGTGGCTGTACCCCGGGCAATGAGCCGCCGGTCCCTGCTTCAGAGGTTCAGGCCCTGAGAGTCCGGCTGGAGATCTTGGAGGAACTGGTGAAGGGGCTCAAGGAACAGTGCACTGGGGGATGTTGTCCTGCTGCTGCCCAGGCTGGCACAGGTGAGCAGGTGATCACAGGAGGGGACACAGAAGAAGAGGAAGGTGGAGAGGTGGGTTAGGTTGGGGTGGCTATCACTGGTTCATAAAAAAACTTGGTATGAATTAGAAAAAGGCACCCTTTCCTTGCCCTTAGGGGTGGTGGGTGTAGCCCAGGGCACAACCTGAAGAGTGGTGCTGGGCTAGATGTCAACCCAAGCATATGCTAGGGCCCTGGGAGGCAACATATATTATGCAGCTGGGAGCTAAGATGGCCTTATGAAATGAGGCTGGCCCTGCTGGAGGGGTTGACCCATAGGAGCACTATATGGGCTCAGCTTCTCTCCTCTCCAAGGGACTGAGGCCTACCTCTCCCTCCTACTCCAGGCCAGACAGATGTTCGTAGCCTCTGCAGCCTCCATGGTGTGTTTGATCTGAGCCGCTGTGCCTGTTCCTGCGAGCCAGGCTGGGGTGGACCCACCTGCTCTGACCCCGCAGACGCTGGGATGTCCCCCACCTCCCCGCCCTCAGCCTCTGGGTCCTGCCCTGATGACTGCAACGATCAGGGTCGCTGTGTCCGCGGTCGCTGCGTGTGCTTCCCTGGCTACACCGGTCCCAGCTGTGGCTGGCCCTCCTGCCCTGGGGACTGCCAAGGCCGCGGGCGCTGCGTGCAGGGCGCGTGCGTGTGCCGGGCCGGTTTCACAGGCGACGACTGCGGCCAGCGCTCCTGCCCTCGGGGCTGCAGCCAGAGAGGGCGCTGCGAGAACGGGCGCTGCGTGTGCGAAACCGGCTACACTGGCGAGGACTGTGCGGTGAGGAGCTGCCCTCGAGGCTGCAGTCAGAGGGGGCGCTGCGAGAACGGGCGCTGCGTGTGCAACCCCGGCTACACTGGCGAGGACTGTGCAGTGAGGAGCTGCCCTCGAGGCTGCAGTCAGAGGGGGCGCTGCGAGAAAGGGCGCTGCGTGTGCGACCCCGGCTACACTGGCGAGGACTGCGGGGTGAGGAACTGCCCCTGGGACTGTGGCGAGGGCGGGCGCTGCGTGGACGGCCGTTGTGTGTGCTGGCCCGGGTACGCGGGCGAGGACTGCAGCACGCGAACGTGCCCGCGCGACTGCCGGGGCCGCGGGCGCTGCGAGGACGGCGAATGCATCTGCGACGTGGGCTACAGTGGAGACGATTGCGGCGTGCGCAGCTGCCCTGGCGACTGCAACCAAAGGGGCCGCTGCGAGGATGGCCGCTGCGTGTGCTGGCCGGGGTATACCGGGCCTGACTGCGGCGCGCGCGCCTGCCCTCGCGACTGTAGGGGCCATGGGCGCTGCGAGAATGGTGTGTGTGTGTGCAACGCGGGCTACAGCGGCGAGGACTGTGGCGTGCGCAGCTGTCCCGGGGACTGTCGTGGTCGGGGCCGCTGTGAGAGTGGCCGCTGTGTGTGTTGGCCCGGGTACACTGGCCGAGACTGCGGCACGCGCGCCTGCCCTGGCGACTGTCGCGGGCGCGGGCGCTGCGTGGACGGCCGCTGCGTGTGCAACTCGGGCTTCACGGGCGAGGACTGCGGGAGCCGTCGGTGTCCCGGGGACTGCCGAGGGCACGGCCGCTGCGAGGATGGCGTGTGCGTGTGCGACGCGGGCTATTCGGGCGAGGACTGCAGCTCGCGCAGCTGCCCCGGGGACTGCCGAGGCCGCGGCCAGTGCCTGGATGGGCGCTGCGTCTGCAACGACGACTACTCGGGCGAGGACTGCGGCGTGAGGCGGTGCCCGAGCGACTGCAGCCAACATGGCGTGTGCCAGGACGGTGTGTGCACTTGCTGGGAGGGCTATGCCGGCGAAGATTGCGGCTTCCGCACCTGCCCCTCCAACTGCCACGGGCGCGGCCGCTGTGTGGACGGACGCTGCGTGTGCGACCCAGGCTACACTGGCCCTGCCTGCGCCACCCGCACCTGCCCAGCAGACTGCCGGGGCCGTGGGCGCTGTGTGCAGGGAGTGTGCGTTTGCCACGCGGGTTATGGTGGCGAAGACTGCGGGCGGGAAGAGCCTCCGGCCAGCGCCTGCCCCGGGGGTTGCGGGCCCAGGGAACTGTGCCGCGCGGGTCAGTGTGTGTGTGTCGAAGGATTCCAAGGCCCCGATTGCGCCATCCAGACGTGCCCTGGGGAATGCCGTGGCCGGGGAGAGTGTCGCGAGGGTAGCTGCTTCTGCCAAGAAGGTTATGCCGGGGATGACTGCGGAGAAGGTGAGCAGGCAGCCTTCACCAATATGCTAGGTCAGGGACTGGGGTTCTGAGAACAGGAACCATTGGGAGGACCCGAGCCTGAAACCTACGGGCCCAGGGACCTGGAGGAAGAGTGGAGGGATATCATAAATTGGGGGTAGGGGGTGTCGTCAGAGGAGCCAGCCTCTACTAGGGACAGCAGAACCATTGGGGCATGCCATCCAGCAGTACTGGCCTTCGGATCTCTGATGAGCACTCTGGGGGCCCCTTTGGTTTGATTAGGAAGATTCTGTATTCCTGGAGATGGGGGAAGGTGAAGGAGACCCGGGATCTGTTCAGGCCTCTGCCAGTTTTTTGCCAACTGGCAGAGAGGAGTGGGAACTTGGACCAGCCTCTGGCTGTGGCCCTGAATAAAAGGGGTGGTGATGGTGGGGGTGGGGATTGAATGCCTTGGGCTAACCAGCTTTCCCTACCATTCTCCTGGACAGAGGTGCCAACCATTGAGGGAATGAGAATGCACCTCCTGGAGGAGACAACAGTTCGAACAGAGTGGACCCGGGCTCCTGGCCCTGTGGATGCCTATGAAATTCAGTTCATCCCCACGGTGAGGGGGATGCCATGCTCCAAGAGGGGGTGAATGGGTAGGCCCTGGGTGGGGAGGGCTCACCTCATACAGAAGTGCCAGGTAATCAGTGGTTGAATCCAGAAGGCTGGGTTCTTGAAGCTGCTGGAAAGACCTTATCCTGCCCCACATCAGGCAGGAGATCTCTGCAGCATCTCTGTCAAGCATTGGTCCAGTGCAGCTGAAACAGTTCTGGTGACGGTGAGCTCAGTACTTCCTGAGTCTATTCAGGCCATTCTTGGTCATCGCTGTTAGTTCTTTTCGTTGTTGCTGGATCCAGATCTGCCCCCATTCTAATGTCCATCCATTGGCCTTAGCTAGGCATTCACCAGCAGCTGTAATTCTTTTTTGCTTTCCCTGAAACCACAGGCCTTCAGGTATTTGGAGACATCAGCTATCGCATCACTCTTCATTCTCCCTAGGCAAAACCCCCTGGTTTCTTTGCCACTTTCCTCTAAGGCTTTGTTCTCTGAATCCTCCATCTTCCCGTGCCTCCTGCTTTTTGCATGTGTCCCCCAAAATGGGGAGGGAAAGAAGCCCACTGGCAAACTCTGGATTCACTGGCATTTTTTTCAGAGTTGGCATTATATTAACTTATAGTCACACAAACTGTCAGCTGTTATGATCATTTTTTAAGTCACTTTTTTATTATAAAAGTCATGTAGGCCCAGTGCAGAAAATTTAGAAAGTATAGATAAGCAAAGAAAGAAGGAAGGAAGGAAGGAAGACAATATTCTACTATATACAGTTTTTTAGCTTAAATATGGGCCTTTGCATTTGGGTCTGTTCAATGTTATCTTTACTGGTCTGAGCCAAGCTGTCTAGGCTGCTGCAATAATTTTGTCTGTGAACTTGTTCTCCCATCTCAATGTCGTCAGTGCATTGCAAAGTATCCTTTCTCGGTCTCCCTCCAATTTGCTCTTAAAATATTTGGATAGCACCCCAAGGACGAAGCCTTGTGGCCTCTCATTAGGGACTTCTCTTTACGCAGATTGGGTTTTTAGGATATGGCTATTCCCCCAGCCCCAAGTCATCTGACATTTCTACCATCTAACTCATGTTTTCCTGCATCATCCCACAGATGCCATGGTGGGGGGAGGGGGACATGTCACCCTCATCTCCATCAGCTCAGCCAGCACTCTGGAAAAATAAATAATTCCCTGAACCTAAAGCCTCAGAAGGCACTAGGACAGAAGGGACAGCTCAGAGGTCTTGGCTGTTATCCTCGCCCCCACTTTGCCTGGTTTTCTCATTAATATACCCCAGGCCCAACCCCTGCCATGTTCTATCTCTCCTCACTCTCTTTGGCCAAAGCAGAGGTAGAAATCCTTACTTTGGGGCTGGCCCGGTGGCGCACTGGCGAGTGCGCTGCTTGAGAGCGCGGTGGCGCTCCCGCCGAGGGTTCGGATCCCATGTGGAGACCGGTTCCCACTCACTGGCTGAGCGTGGTGCGGGGCGCAACACCGAGGGTTGTGATCCCGTTACCAGTCAGTAAAAAAAAAAAACAAAAAAAGAAAAAAAGAAATCCTTACTTTGTGGGGCAACCAAGGTAACTTTTTGTTTAAAAATTATTTTTCAGGGGCCAGCCTGTGCCTCACTTGGGAGAGCGTGGTGCTCACAACACCAAGTCAAGAGTTAAGATCCCCTTACTGGTCATCTTTTAAATAAATAAATAAAAATTATTTTTCAGCTCTATAACACGAAGGTCACAGGTTTGGATCCCCATACCAGCCAGCCACACACACAAAAAAATTGCTATAAAAATAATTTAATCACAAGACAAGAATTTGGCAACTAGAGAAAAAGAAAAACAAATACTTCTTGGCCGCTTCACACTAAAATAAGCACTGCTAACATTTTAAAGTGTTTCTCCCACTCTCTTCTTCTGTGTGTGTATTATTTACATAGCTCTAATCTTGAGAGGGTGGGACTTTGAAAAGGAACTTTCCTAAAAAACTTCAGGGAATGGGCCGGCCCGTGGCTCACTCGGGAGAGTGTGGTGCTGATAACACCAAGGTCCGGGGTTCGGATCCCACATAGGAATGGCCGGTTCGCTCACTGGGTGAGCGTGGTGTTGACAACTCCAAGTCAAGGGTTAAGATCCCCTTACCAGTCATCTTTATTTTTTATTTATTTATTTTTTTTGTCTTTTTGTCTTTTTCCGTGTCCGGCAACGGATCGCAACCCTCAGTGTTGCCCCCGCACCAGACCGGGGACCGGCAACGGGACCGCAACCCTCGGCGTTGCTCCCGCGCCTCGCTCAGCCAGTGAGCGGGAACCGGTCTGTATGTGGGATCCGAAC